AGAAAAGATGCCAAATTAGTGGCGAGATTACCTTCCCTTGGTCTATTCTGTCTTCTGCTGTTATTTCTTTTGTTAGACTATAGGCTGTAATAATTTTGAGTTGCTGTTTACAAAACATGTTGATTATGTATTTTTTTGTTTTTTGTAGGATTTTAACTCTTCTTAAGGCCCAGTCTAGGCTTTTTAACGAAACTAAGTCAAATGCTTTTTTCATATCTTGTAACAAAATTTACACTTCCTTATTCTTTTCTTGTGTCTTCTTCATTATCATGTTTAGTATATGTATTGGCTGCTCTGTTGAATTACCTGACAGGCCTATGTAATTTGGCCCTTTGAGTATGTTTCTTTTTATAAACACTTTGGCTAATCTTCTTGTTACTACTTTTGTAACAATTTTTCTAAATGTCTCTATTAATGCTATCGGCCTAATGTTGTTTAAGCAGTAACCCTAGTCTGTGTCTTTCAAGATTAGATATATTTGTGCAACTTTCTACTTTTTCAGTATGTCTCTTTTTTCTAAAATCAGATTTGCAAAGCCTCTGAAAATCTTTTGTGTTCTTTTCTCTGCATGTTTAATTAATATATAGCTTATGCCTGATATTTCTAGAGCTGTATTCACTTTAAGCTCTCTAAGTATTTCTTTTCATTCACTTTCTTCTATTCTTTCTTCTATTTTCCTATACCAGGTCTCATCGATTTATTCTTTTGAGTTGTATACTCTTTTTCATTCTTTTGACATTTCTTCAAGTTTGGTTTTCTATTTTCTGAACTGGTTTTTAAAATGAGCTACCAAACCATTTAAGACTGTGTCTGGTTCTGATATTAGGTCAACTTCTTCTTTGTCTTGCATTATAAATCTGTTTAGAACAATCTTTTTGTATAGTTTGTTTAGTAGGCTGGCAATCATTCAACCTTGATCTGTTTTGATCATTTCACATCTTCTGTTTATATTTTCTTCTATTTGTTTTCTTTGTGTTTGTTCTCATTCCTCTCTTCTTTTCTCTTTAAATATTCTTTGTCAGCCTTTCATATCATCTATCCAGGCTTCTGACCACTGCCTATGTAGTTTTGGCAACATTGCTCCCTGCTCTTTTCCTATAATTTAAAGTTTGTTATTTATTTCAACATCTTCATTCTTTTCCATATTCTGATTTTTTTTACTTCTTGCTTTCTTGATTATTTGCTGAAGTTCAATAATATGTTTGTGTTTCATTGTCTTTTTCTGGTTTTGTCTTCTGTTCATCTTAGTATTAAAGATTTTCTTTTTTGGAATTTGCTTGTTTGCCACTTCAATTATAGCTTTTTCTATTGCATCTCACATCTGGTCTAGTAACTCTATACTATATTCTGTAATTGTATTATCATCTTCTAGTCATTTTAAGACTCTTTTCCATTTTAGTTGATTTTGCAGCTCTCTTGCATACTCTTCTTAGTCTTCTTGTTTTGCTTCTTTATATAGGTATATTGTTCTTGTTTGGTCTTTTTACTTAATCTCTGCCTTACTGCAGTTTGTGATTATATGTTCTACCCATATTTCTGTTGTTATTATCTTGTGATCACTGTTTATCAAGCCTTCTGCTTCTTTAATATTCACTTTTTATAGACCTAATACAAGTGTTTCTGACAGCCAGATGTAATTTATTCTTGTTGCAATCTTCTGATTTGATCATGCGTATGCTTCTTTTGTTGGATACAAGTTTCTGTATGAATCTATGAAGTTTTGTCTCTTGAGCTAGCTAAATATTGGTAATTTCTTGTAGTTTGATGTTTGTGGATACTGTCTGTCTAGTATATTGTCTACTGTGTGATTAAAGTCACCTAGTACAATTACTTCTGTATATCTTTTTCTGTTTGTTACTATCTCTATGATTCTTTGCTAGATTTTCTTACTAATTGACTTGTTGTTTGATAGAATATATACTCCCAGTATCACTAATTCTAATTGTTTAAAATATAATCTTACCTTGAGTGTGTATTCACTAACTCTTTTGACTGCTCCTATATGCTTTTTCCACTTTTCATCTATTAAAATTCCTATGCCTGAACCTTTTTTCTTGTCTACTACTGTACTAGTCCAATATCCTTTATACTGTATATTATAATCATACAATAAGAATTTTTCTTCTTTTTCTGTAATGTTTGTTTTCATAATTCCTAGTATTGTTAGTTCTTCTTTTTCTGCCTATTCTAAGAGGTTTTCTACTTTTCATCCTATTGTTTTGAGTTCATTGATGTTGTGGCATGCAATTTTTATTTTTTTCTTTCTTTGTTTCTATTTTTCTTTTAAGTGTTTGTGCTTTGTTTCCATGTTTTCCATCTTCTTTTTTTCTTTTCTTCTTGTTTTTTTATTATAACTAAGAGATGCATCTGTATTTCTTTTCTTAAAAATTCTTCTTTCACTATACAAAAACTCTCCAATCTCCTGGTCTGTGCACATTAATTCAACTGTGATGCCATTAGGAGCTGTTGGCCAGATCTTCTTCTGTCTTTCATCTTGTCTTGTTTTGCTGTACTTCAAGTCTTTCTAGTCTCTCGAGTATCTTTTCCAAAAGGTCTTGACTTTGTGTTTGTGAATCTTCTTTTTCTGTTAGGTATATATGATGCTTCTTTTTATTTTTGGTAAACTCTTCTGTGTCTTCTTTCCTCCTGTTACTCTTGTTGTTATACACTTCTGCATCTAAATCTATGTCTATATTATATGTATTTATGCACTTCTTATAATAATCTTCTTCATTTTCTTTCTGCATTTTCTTTTTCATTTCATCTTGCCAAAATAGCAAGTGATTGTTAAATCTAATTGGCTTAGTTTGTGCTGCCTTCATCTCCTTCTCTGATGCAAAAGTAATTATTGCAGATCTTTTTTGATTTCCATTTCTGTTTGTTGGCATATATATTGACTTAGCATCTTTCTTCCTTAAGCATTGTAATAGTAGCACTTCAGATGCATTTTCTAGAAGCTCTAGTAACTTTAATGTATATAGACTGTGTTGGTCTTGTAGTCTGTAATCTTCATTGCCTTTAGACACTCTTGCTAGTTTGTGTGTACCAATTGGCAAGGCCTATGGAATATTTTCTTTTCTTAAATTCTTCATATATATTAATGCTAGGACTTTGTATTTGGACCTCTTGATTCATTCTATTTTGGCATCTTTAATGCTTCTGCATATGTGCTCTACCTCTTCTATATTAATATTTGCCAGCAGGTCCCAAATCATTAGATAGTTTTCTGTTTTTAAATCCTTTTCTGTCTGAGAGCTTTTTATGTTTTTAACTTCTGCTCTTGCTTAACTTGTGTCTTTGTATTCTTCTTTTTTTTTTTTTCTATTTTTAATATTTGACTCTTCTGTTTTCTTGTTCTTCTTTGTTTCTGTTTGTCTTGTATTTCTTTCTTTTCTTCTCTTAGTGTTATGCTTCTCTTGCTGTTCTGTATCTTGCATTTTGTTTTTGGATTTTTTTGGTATAAGTTTTAGCCATTCTTCTTCTTTTCTCTTGATTCTGCCCATTGTTGCATCTCTGCTATGCTCACAATCAAAATCTACTTCTATCCAATTATTTCCATTTTTGAATACTTCTTTGACTGTTTTAATATAATGATTTTTCCCAAGAATCCACTAAACATACTTTATTCTTTCTTTTTTGGTTTCCTCTGGCAAAGCATATATTAGCATGTTTGCTTTGTAGGACCTATTTTTATTACATATTCGATTATCTAGAGACTATTGACTATGTTCAATTGTCCTTGTAGAAAACATTGTTTCAATATCTTCACTGTTTATTTCTTCTTCCTGTTCTATCATTTCTATATCTGTGATTTTTAGATTTGTCTCTTTGCTTTCTGTTGATATTTCTTTTTTAAGTTCTAAATTACTTATGACTAAGACTGTGGACATTTTGTAGACAAAAGGTAACTACCTTTACGTCAACGTCATAGCATATACGTCACATTTGATATAGACATAGAAGGTAACGAATGCCATAGCAGGTAACGTATGACGCAATGACGTATATATGACGTTTGACGTGATGCCATATATGTTGACATGTGACGTATGCCATATACTTGCCGTATGCCTTGCCGTATGCCGTAATGCCATATATTTGCCGTATGCCGTAATGCCGTATATTTGCCGTATGCCGTAATGTCGTATACTTGCCGTATGCTGTAATGCCATATACTTGCCGTATGCCGTAATGCCGTATACTTGCCGTATGTCGTAATGCCGTATACTTGCCGTATGTCGTAATGTTGTATACTTGTCGTATGCCACAATGCCGTATACTTGCCGTATGCCGTAATGCTATATGCTTGTCATATCAGATATGCTGTAATGCCATACGTATACTTACCATATCAGGTATGTCGTAATTAGGGCTTATTGATTTCTAATATCCGAATAACATGAATACGAGGAATAAACAAAAAAATTATCATCAGAATTACAAGACTAGAATCTACTTTATTTTTTTTTTTGCGTGTTGATGATTTTTCCTGTAGACATAATTAATTTAATATAGTAATGTTTTGGAAACAAATCGAACTGCAGTTTAAAGTAAATAAAGTACTGTATCAATAACTTTCTGGAGTGACGCATTGTTGACTTAAATTTTATTAAAATTTAATTTTAATGCAATATTAGCTAATACCAAAAATGCAATATTAGCTAATACCAAAATTACATAAATTATTTTGTAATATATTTTCTTTATGTAAATGTGCCTTGAAATAAAATTTCTTTTATCGCAACACAATTTCAGGAGAACTACATATCAGCCTTTGCGGGTTTTGGTATATATGAATATCTTGTTCCACAATAACAATAATGCACATTCCAATAGCATTTCCAGATTTAGCAGATTTTTTGTAGCGATCTTCTCGACTCTGATTTCACTTGCATCACCCATATTGGCAGATTTTAGATAGGTAATACCATGCATTTATCTTTTTCAACTTTAATTTTTTTGTCATAACAATGATATCAGCGTTATATATTTCAACATATTTATTGACTATTATTTTGATTTTCACGTTCTAAAAAACCATTTAGTACATCAAGAGGGTTATAATCCAAATCAGCAGGAGAAATGGTTTGGGCCGTCTTTGTCGAATGTTCAGAATTGTTTCCAACTGTCAAATCAACAATATCCTCAATTAATAGGGTTGTAGAATGATCGGATACTATGCTACCTAACGAATTTTCACTGCTAACTCTTATTTGATCATCCTCAAAATCCATTATATTACCAATGGATGTCAGATTACATGCATCTCGAAGATCACTTTCTAACAATTCTTTACCTAAAAAACTTAGCTCACGTCGAATGTTAGTCATATAATATGATCTAATTTTTGCCATTCCTTCCAGTCTATTTAAACTCAAGCCTACTCGTCACTCTCCAAGAATCCACTTTAATGTTGAAAAATTCCTCTCACAGCCAGCTTGTGTAGGGTTAATCGAAAATATCCTGTATGCCAACTCAGCTAAATGTTGAGGTTGATTCTTGAAAGAACCCCACCAAATTTTTGGAGTGTCCATATTAGCAACATAGGGAAGGTCAAATGGTGGCAAACGTGCCTCAAAACGGCGCAATTGTGCAATCAATTCTTCACCTTCTGATCGAGTATGGCCAAGATTCTACCAAAGTTCAAGAGAAGTAAGTGCTGCTTTATAAAACCCCTGGTTTTTTAAACCTTTTCCTAAAAAATTAAATAACGATTTCAAATTAATTAATAAATCACTACTTTAGTTGATTTTTTTATATTGGCCAGAATCACCGTTTTCAAACAGCTGGATAAAATATAGATTCTCTGTCATACTCCAAACAATTATAAAAAATCTTACCTCTATATTCTGGATGAATATAATAGGCTAAAATATAAAACGGATGCAAAAATTCCTCATAACGTCGATTAAAGACATAAATGGCTGAAATTTTAAAACTGTTTGTTTCAGATAAGTTATGAATTGCTGTGGCTAACTTAATCAAATAAACAAAGCAATCAGCTAATGTTGCATTATTAGCTTCTAACATATGAATAATTTCTTTGATAGGTTCCCACACTGAGCGTACAAAACGACAAGTAGTAAAAAAACTTTCATTAGATATCAAATTACTAACTTCTGTATTAGTAATTGATTCACCATGGTCAGCAAGTATCTATGTAATAACAAAATTTATTTAATAATAATAATTTATATGGAGCTTAAGCTGGGATTATTTTAATAATAAAAGAATACCGGTATACACATGGCCCTTGATATAACGTAGTACCTCGGGCAATTAGAAAGAAATTTACTAAATCTATTATATCGTAAGATTTATTAGTAAATCCATTATACTAAGTATAATTTATTATGATATGAATCTGAATTTGATCCATTATATCAAGATTTTACTTAGTCTCCGCTATATCAAGAGTCCGTTATATCAAGAGCTATGTGTATATAAATTTTAGTAGGTATTATAGGCTTAAATAAGAAAACCCAAATCCCAGTATAAGCTATCACAATTTATAATAATATTATATTAACTGGCTTACCCAGTCAAATACCGGACGTGCACAAATCATTGAGTCAGTGGTTAAATATAAGGATCCCCAGCGAGTTTTTACCCATGTTTTTAGCTCACCACCTTTAATTTTCATATCCACAAGTCCTTTTGTAAGTAATGAATTGCTTGCATGAGAATTTTTGAAAAAACGATTAATTTTTCCACAATCATTAATTAATTTTTTTATGCTCTCTAATTCAACCAAATCAGCTGCGATAAGGTTGATAGCGTGAGCAGCACAACGGACATTCCAGATATGTGGATACATTTCTTGTATTTTTTTATGTGTGGCATTACAGTTTGATGCAGCGTCTGTTACGACAGCCACGAACTTGTCTGTGCCAAGATTTTCAATAACCTCTGATATTTCACTTGCCAAAAATTCACCGGTGAGAGATTGATCAGAATAATTTTTTAATCCGATTAAATATTCTTTTCGAGTATCGGTCGTGACAATGTAATTGTAAATAGAATCCGTTGATGGTGACATCCAGCCGTCCAAGGCTTTATAATAAAATTAATGAGTTTAAAACTTAGTAATTAAAAAATTAATACTGTTTTATAGGATGGTTTATACTAAAAGATCACATATTAATACTAACCTAAGGTCAAATGATCTGCTTTACTTAAGTCATCATCAATTGCTTTATTTACTCGTGCTAATTCTTCATCAAATAATCAATTGGACAAAGTTGCTCTTGAGGGCGGGTTGTATGCAGGGTTAAATTCCTTGAACATATCTCGAATAAATGGATTATCGATAATGTCAAAAGAAATTCCTGCTATTACCCAGGCTTTGATTATTTTTTGATCAAGACGGTTATTAATAGTCTTTGATAGTGGACGGTCTGACATATAATGGGATGTTATTGTTGCTTGTAGCATGGAGTTTGGTAGGACACAGCTTTTTTTTGATCTTCGAGTATAATTTATATTCCTTTCAGCAACCTTTTCATGCCAATAACATGATATATCATCTAGGCAACCGGCACATTCGTTTGCCAAATGCGCTTCTAATTGCGTTAATTTTCCTCATGCCCATATTTTCTCACAATAACTACAAGTTGCCTCATAGTGTCCGTTGTTTTTTTCAGTTCCTTTAACGAAGTAATCCCATACTTCAGAAAATGGGCGCCTATTTCGCTGGATATTTTGTGAACTTGATTGTTGTGTAATGGTAACCGTTGAAATTTGAGAGTTAGAAGTATCTGTTGTTGTGATAATGGTTGTTGCTGCTTGCGTTCTGGTGTCTTCGGCTTCTGAAACAAATTCTTCATTGTCTTCTAGAGGAAACCTATATCTTTTCTTTGAACTTCCCTCATCCATCGCACTTTTCTTGTTCATTGCTTTGAACTAAAATCATAATATTTAACGAATATTAATGATTATCTATGTTACACGCATGCCATATCACGTGTGTTTCTATTTTATCCAAATTTTAACATTCGTACCGGTCCTCAAACGATCCATAATAATTAGATTTTTTATTCTGTATCTATAGTTATATTGATTCCTTATCGGACACCCTGACTATTACTTTCTTTTCTTTCAATCTTTTAATAATAAGACACATTGAAATATCGCATCATTGAATTTCGAATACAACTCATACATTGTAAAATTTTGGATATGCTTCGCTTCAATAGACTTATTATCGCATTCTCTGCATCAATTAGACAATTCCATCCTTTTATTATTTCAAACTCCCTTTACCCATATACTATAATTTAAATTTGAAATGTAAAAACATTTAGTCTATAAGAATAGATATAATTTTGTGTTAATAAATTGCATCGTATAATAATTCAGTAATTTGAACACCTTTTGATTTGACATACACTACGATATTGATGCTGTTCTTTCAATTATTTGACTACGAATAACATTTGCTAGTCTTTATTTTACTTGTTTTTTTCCTTGCCTTTTCTTTTTTAATTTTAATGATAGTGTGGCATTCAGAACAATATGGCTGTTGACTGGTGGGAGTTGGTGAAAGGATTGAAAGCAAACATCCGGGTGTTACGTTTTTGGTAAACATCATAGCTATAAGAACTTAAATCTCCTTATTTAAATTATAGGTGAAAGCATAGGTACAGTATTTATATAGATATATTGAGTTGACAAAAAATATAGGATAAGAATAACTTAAATTTATCATAGCATTAGAGCAGGCTTAGAAAACTCTGTGGGCCATAAATTGAAAAAAACTTAAAAGCTTAAGGGTCATAGATCATAAAATATTTAAAAAACTTAAGGGATAAACCAAGAAAAAAAATTGAAGATTGTCTTTACTTTTATATTCGTAATGGCAGCCGTTCTTATTATATCATAATCATATATAACAAATACGCTAAAATTCTGTGGAATGCAACAATTGAATTCTGTGAATTCTATGGATCCCGCATATTACTATTGTCTTTGCAATGGTAATATGCAGGTTCGCAGAATTCAATTATCTCACTAACTTGAACTATCGATAAACCAAACAATTTTTAATTAAGTAAAACAAAGGTTCCTTTTTTATATTTAGCATGCCATTATGCAACAACTGTTGTATACGAAATTGTTATTGTGAAAACTCTGAATATGATCTTATAATTGTGAGTATAGTTGCAGGTATTTAAAAAGTCAAAGGTAGTTATTTTTTACGTCACCCTTTACATCATATAAAATTTATATATAATGGTAATACGTCATATCAAATACGTCAGTCAATACGTCATAGTATATGTTATATTCTAATGTCTGCAACTCTAGCTTTCATGCACTCAAATATACCATACATGATTCTGTTATTCTTTTACATATTGTCTCAAATGCAGTTATAATGCAATGCTTTTTTTTAAATACATACACACTGTGTTATGATTCATAACACAGCACGTATGTATTTAAAAAAAAGCATTGCATTAGAGACAATAAACAGCAGAGACCGTTAATGTTACACATATATTAAAACTGATGAGGGATTATAACCATCACAATTGAATCCAACATAAATAATTTAATTTGTAATTGATCACAGGCAAGAGGGATCCACTTTGGATCAGGCACTGTCTCTGCTGTTATGTACATATCATTCCATACATGTCATTGATGCACTGGCCCCATAAAAATGAGGCAGAGTTAATATAGGAAAACAAAATATAAAGGGTCTTTTGTAATGCAATGGTGGTCATTATTTGTGCTATATTTCAGTTATTATTCGCTTAACTAAATCTTTAGTGATTAATTAAATAAATATTACAAATATATACATTTGATCTTGCTCTTATTAAATTTTTTTAGCAAGGTCAAGCCTCAAATTATTATGGAAGAAGGCAATTTACTATCTTCTTCATCAGTCCAATCGTTTGATGAATCATTTACTAACCGACCCGATAGCCCAAGTGATAAAAATGAAATCGAAACTTCTGAAAGGTTAGGTCGCAATGATGGATCAAAAAAAAAAAGCTGGGTATGAAATATTTTGAATCAGAGAAAGTAGTTGAAGTTATAAAAGAAAAATCTAATAATGAAGTTACTTGTAATGTATTAAATGATTCTAGTATAAAATGTAATGCACAATTAAAAATTGTAGGAGGGTCAACTTTGAAATTAATATCTTATTTATGGAACTGTCATGGTATTACGCAAGACGGACATGGACCAGATGATGTATAAAATATTTTTGTACATCATATTAGCCAATAGTAGTTAGAGTTAGGGTTTGGGTTACACGAATTTTTAGTTGTTTTTATTGGCTGTACTAATTAAGTTGTTACAAATAAGTGCGTAACAGGTTGTTACGATTAGATTCGTCCTAATAAAATTATTGGTTTTTGTATATCCACTTAATTGTAAAGAAAGTTAATGTCAGTATTGGCACTGGAATTCCGGAACCCTATTGGACGTCCAGATTTTTCCAGAGTTCCAGTAAGAAATCCCAACTGGAACGTTACAGGATGACATTCATCTAATTGGCATTACACGTTATGAATGTGAAACGATTAACCCTTTATGCACCACCCATCCGGGTAGTAATTTTTTTTTGCTAACAAAAAATTTGTCTTATATCTTAATAAGCTAATTCACAGTTATTTGATTTCTAATGCCAATATCCTTGTTAAAATATTAAAGTGATTTACCCACTCTTGGTAAATTAATCCATGACTATCTCATGTCACTACATTATTTGGTTTGATTTATTTTATCTAGTTCAGCAAGTGGCTTCGATAATTATCCATCTTTTGTTAATCCACAATTACTTAATGCTTTTAAAGCCACTTGGTTCGACTCTAATTCACCCATCTCTTGATAAATTACTCTGAGACTATTTAATCTATTACAGTATTACATTGTGTTGTCGATTTTTAATGACTTATTTAAATATATAAGTGATTCTTCAAATTCGATAAGCTTTTCTATAGCTCTTCGATATCATATTTATTTACTAATACATGCAAAATTTCATTCGCATTAATTTATTTATGAAAAGTTGTCTATTAATTGAAGAAATAAAAATCAGCAAAACTAGTCCACAAATTAATAATTATAATATAAATACTTATTTACCACCATGCACAAGTTATTTTATTCACATTAATCAGATCTCTTGCAGCATAGATGACTCTTTAATAAAATGCATTATTAATAAAGCGAAATCAATTGGGTCACCTATACTGCAAGAGACTCCATTAATCATTTTATTCAGCTCATGAGTGTAAATTAATTGGAGACATTGAAAAGCAAAATAAATCAATATACTTATCATCACTATATAAATCCAATGATTTGATCGGTGAATATAAAGATCGGAGAAATTAAATCAGCAAAACAAGTTCGAAGATCAAGATCATATAATATTTTGCTTTCTATCAAAAAATATTGGAGTCATAATGATAAATTTTGACCTTGTATAATTCGCGTGAAATTTAGAATATTATTGAATTCACAATTAATCCCACGGTTTGACTTACCTGTCTCTATCTGGATGGCCATAACTTCCTGAATGATTTCCAGTTTGCTACCCAGTGTTGATTCGAATTGGCCAATCAGAAGTTACTGAAAGCCACTGGACATCACTGGAACTTCCATTCTAGTGGCGAAAAATCTTCACTGGAATGGTCCAGTGATATTCAACCACTGGAAGCCCAATTTCATCCAGTTAAGTCCAGTAACCTTCCAGCTCCAGTAATTCCCACCGGAACGTTCCAGTGAGCAACATTGCTATTAACAACCTTAACAATACCTGACATAGCTATTAATTAGTATATTGAGAGACCCAATTACACAAGTGCATTATTACATCAAACGTCAAGAGCTACATCAAATGTCAAGAGTTATGTCAAATGTCAAGTATCACATCAAACATCAGGAGTCACCTCAAACGTTAATGATTACATGTTATACTAGCATACTACAGTATATACGGCATATTACAGCATATACGGCATACTACAGCATATACGGCATATTACAGCATATATGGCATACTACAGCATATACGGCATACTACAGCATATACGGCATACTACGGCATATACGGCATACTACGGCATATACGGCATACTACAGCATATACGGCATACTACAGCATATACGGCATACTACAGTATATACATCAAACATCAGACATCACGTCATTTACAATACGTCAATCTGACCCTGAGGTAGTACGTCATCTACATCATAGCCGTAGTGCCGTAGGTAGTAACTACCCTAAAAAATGTTTGCAACCTTACTTATGACTTGATTTGTTTGATATTGTGATGTAACGATGCTAAGCCCTTTCATTTGCTTTTTTAGTGTTTCTAATCCCTGCTCTAACTCTTTGGAATTGTTTCTTTTTTCTTAGCTCTGCTTACTTTTGACAGATTTTTCTGCTTTGTTAGATTCAACTGACATACTTACCTTATCTCTTCTGCTTTCCTTTTGATAAGCTTCTTTTCCTTCTATATTTGCATCATATTCAAATAAGCTTGAGTTGTAGCTTATTGATCTCAGCTTTTCTGCCTACTTGTCGATTATTCCTTTTTTAAGTTAGCTTATCTCTGCTATTTTTAAGGCTTCCAAAACTTGGCTATAGACTAACAAGTCTTGTGACATAATGTGTTTTGGATCATAGATTGCTAGATCTTTTGCAATATGCTCTATATTGCTTGGACTTTTTGTTGGTGTTTTAAGCACTTGGTCTAATATTTTGCAATTAACATATCTGCGATTTCTGTCTCTTATATCTTTAATATGCTCTATAATATCTTTATTATGTATTTTGGCCATTGGTTGTTTTAGTTTGGTTGTTGTTATATCATATACCTATTCTAGTAGATTATTTTACTACACGTGTTTGTTTGTTTACTTTACTTATTTTTTGTGTTTCTTGTATAACCTAATTGATTTTCACAATAGAATCATAGGGATTTCCTAAAATTTTTACAAAAAATTTGTTTTCGTTAAAATTTTTCTAATTTTTCTAATTTTTCCAAGCTGTACTACTTCTAAGCTTTTCTACTTGTGTCTTTGTTCTTTAGCTAAATGTAACTTTTGCTGCTCTTTCTTTTTTGTTAAGGGCCTAAGTGATGTTTCCTAGCAGATTTTGCAGTTTTTTTGTATTTTGCTTCTTAATAATTTTTGGTTGAGAAATTTATAGAAGAAAGTTGTGATAAACTATGATGAAAATTTTTTTAATTTAAAAATATAAGTAATATTATCACTTCTGATATATCACATTTTATTAAATAAATTAAAAAGCTTATTAATAATATTAAATCTAATGACTGTTATTTTAAAC